ACGCGATATCTCAGAAAGAATATATCAAAGTGTTGACGTCAGAGAAGGAGAACCTGATCTCAGAGAAGGAGAATTTGATCTCGGAGAAGGAGGATTTGCTGCGCCGGGTGGAGAGCCTTGAGGCCGATGTCAAGGAGCGGACCGAGATCCTCCTCAAGGCCATGGACAAAGCCAAGATTAAGGTCGTGGAGGACTACAAGAGCTTGGAGGAGTTCGATGGGGCAGTGGTGGAGGCCTACCGCAAAGGCTTCAAGCTCAGCAGGTGGCTAATCAAGCGCGAGTTCCAGTAGCTCGATGTAAGCGCCATCACCACCTCGCGAATCACTGCGGAGGTAGCCCTTCTAGCTGCTGAGGACTCAGACTCCGAGGAGGAGGGCGACGATGATGAAGAGGCCGATGCCACCGACCAAGCCGGCACTTCTACGGAGGCTTCGGGCAAGGGTGACAAGTCCCCCAAGTAGTCCAAGTGGTCTTTGTATTTTGAGCCTGCGAGCTCGGCATCTTTTGTTTCTTTTCTACCCTTGTAACAAACTTTTGCGGAATTAATGAAATACTTTTTTTTTCTTGCCAAGTGTCATGTACTTCTCCTTTTTTATTGTAATTTTCTCCGAGCTGTTGGGTCACCGAGCTAAATGTTTACAGTGGGGGTTTCTTAGCTGTTACCCCAAACTGCCACCCCGTACTTAGAATAATTTGCCAAAGTGAGTGACATTGTAAGGTAGACGCCCGACCTGTCTACACACAGGCTACATGTTGCAACTGTTATAAGTATTTATGCCCGAGTTGGGTGTACCTTAGCACTTCACCTATGCCAAAGAGGCGACTAGGTCTTTGAAGGTGCCGAGGTCCTTCATTAGCTCGGTATCTTAGCTCTTTCAAGCTCGAAAACACTTGAAACATGTCATTTTGATGTGTTTGATATTATCATTTTAATGAAGGTTTGAATGCATTTTGGTGTAAGCTACTAAGCTTGTTTTGGATGTATATATTCCGCATTTTCATTGGTTTTGTTTTTATTAGATCTTGCTCGTAACTGGTTTCGTTATATTGACTGTGAATTAGTTTGTTTGAAGAAATTAGAAGTTTCTTATTTGGAGAAGTTAGAAGTCTCTAGCCCGGAATTATCACTTAGCTAAAAGTTTTTAAATGTTTCATTCTAAAAATTTAAAGAAGAATGATGAGTAAAATAGTCTTTTTTATCTTTCCCATTAACGAACGCTAACAACAAAGAGGATTTAGTCATTTGTCAGAAAACTTAGGGGCACTTTAAGAGAATAGGTAAACAGTAAAGATAAAATTAGTCAATTTCATAAAACTTAGAGGTACTTTAAGAAATTTGCCATTTTATAAACTTCCTAAGTATACCTTAAGTTGAGATCTTGGCATTTGAATATATTGCTAAAGTATTGAACGACGACATGATGGATATGTCCTGACTTCAAACATTTGATTATAGATCTTAGATGGCATCTGATGAATCACAACCCATGATATGGAAATAAACCATAATAGTGATGCCTATTTCTAAATACAGTGATGAATCACAACCCATGGTTTGGGTGCTTCTATGTTAAATACAGTGATGCCTATTTCTAATTATGGTGTTTTCTCTCTCCTGGTGCTTCTCTACTAAGTAGCAATGGCCATATCCATTTATCATTTTCATAGTGTTTAAGCATCAGATTTTGAAACAGTATTTAGTTTTCCAATAGTGAACAGATACAATATCACCATTAGTTTTGAATCAGACTAAAAGAAGTTGGAAATCCAATTAGTTTTTTAATTACTTATAAGAATTTTTTTCCTTCATTTTTAAAAGTTCAAATATTCGATCAAGAATTATCAACTATCCAACATCGAGTGCTCGCCTTCCCATTTGCCCATCAAATATCCTCTCTCTCTCTCTCAAGTCTCATCCCATCAAATATTCGTCCTTTCTCTCTCTCTTTAATCTCTTCAATGTTTTAAAATGGACCCAAAATCGAAACCACTTTGGGCATTGGTTTCTACATCAGCGGTTTGACTGATCGGTCCAAACAAATCAGCCTGTTGATATTTGGCTTGAAAACCATTATTTGGGTCAAATGGGTTAATGATTTAGTTGTTCGGGTTATAAGGGTTCAGCAATGGTTTGAAAATCTTGAATCTCTCTCTCTCTCTCTCGATTCTCTCTATAAGTTAAGGGCCTGTTCATGTCCTCTGAAGTCTGACATTTGAAAGTGCAATAATTACATTAAGGGTGTATTCTTTTTTTTGAATTGTGAGAGGAGGAAAAGTTGGTAAATGGGATTTTGGTTCCCATTGACCAGAATCCCTTATTCTTTTTTCAAATTAATGTGGGGATCAGGGAAAGTTTATTTTCCTAGGTATCACTTACCCAAGTAAGTGATATCCATCTCCTAGGTAGATAAATAACTTTCCCACATAGGGGTAAAATTGTCAACACTTGAATGAGGCAAGAATGGCCCTTTTAATAATGGATTTTTATGGCTGAAATGGCCATTGTCTTATTTATGTGGGGAATAAAAGAACATGGGTATGCACTTACCCGGGTAAGTGTTTCTTAGGAAAATCTTACCTAAGTAACTCTAAATATAGAGAATGTTGTTCTGAATTCTAAATTCTAAAAGTTATCAAATATCCATTTTGACCCTATATATGAGAATTTTTGTTTGTCTTTTTGAGAATATCATTGGAAAACAAAAAATTGTATAATTGCACTTTTAAAGATAAGAGATAAGAGGAAATGAACAACCATTTTTATTTTAAAATTGAAAGATTTCTCTTAAGAAAAAACTAATAGGCCCCAAGTTAAGTTCTTATTTGAATATGGTCCATCAGATGTTTTAGTTTAACTTTGGGTTCAATTACATCCAACTCTAATCCAAGATCTATATTTCAGATTTAAACTAACTCCGCTTTGCTTTATATATATAACTTAATTAACATAATAAGTTAATTAAGTTAATGCATTCTACACATTACTTTTTATGTTTTTTTATGGAATTTGATTGTTTTTGAATTATATATATTTTTTATCATTTTCTGTGTTTTTATGCATTGTCTTGCCCCTACAACGCAGGGGCCTACCCACTAAACTGACTATTGTGCCTTTTCTCCCTTTCCAGCTTCTGCTTTTCAAGGCTAAGGTGAACATTCTGCTTTAAGCTGGTAATTCAATCCAGACACGAATTCTATCTTTCCTGTTCGGGTGTAAAATGTTGAGGAATTAACCTTGGCTCAATTAGCAATGAACCTATATATTCATCTCAATCTCAGTTTGAAGCTCAATTTGGATTCACCCGACTTATATTTAGGCTTAGTTTGGAAAGAATACAAATGCAAATATGTACAGTATAAATACATACAAAATATAAGGTTTTGCACTCTACATATTTGCATTTGTACTCTGTTGAAACTCAGCCTTGTGTTTTAATTTTTTGTTTTGCTCTGTATTTCTAAAGACCAAAACTGGCTTCTTTATACAAATGAAGTAATTCTATTCTCTCAACTTCTCTTTGAGATACGTGAGAGTGGTCAAGGATGACCTTGGCAGATGAGTTTTTCATTGACATTGCTTTAATACAAAATAAGGCCAGTACACAATGTCATGAGTTGTTGGCAAATAAGTTGATGTGGAGCCTCTAGTTGAATGGCAGGTTGATGTTTGAATACAAAATTCCTAATCATGCTTGAAAGCTCCAAAACTTAACCTAGAAATAAAGATATAAAGATAGAGGAAGTTGGAAGGATGACTCTACAAGCAACTTTCAATCAAACCTTATTTTGAGAGTAGGAATGGCAACCAGGTGGAGTAGGGTTGGGTTTTGCATGCTCCTTTCCTAACCCCAAACTCAAATGCCCCACCTCAAATCCCATCTGGACTACAAATCCTAATCCCATCCCTGTTCCAGAAGGAAACAGGGATCCTTGAATTTGCCCAGCCCCACCTCGGTCATTCTTATTTGCATAATTATAAATTTATTTATTTATTTATTTTTTAAACTTACCATCCCCGATCTTCAGAGTTTCGGATTTCCCCAATCAGTAGTCAATAAACCCACCCCTACCGGGTTGGGGCAGGCAGAGCCCCATGGGGATGGGTCAAATTGCCATTTCCAGTTGAGAGCATAGATAAACATTTTCTAGTGGCATTCAATCTGATCCCCTTCAAGTTGGGGTTATTGATTTATCTATTATTTAGTTTATTTATGTGTGTGTAAATCTTGCAATAAAAAGATCCATAAATTTATCAACTAGAATTTATGGAATTGTTATGCGCGGACTATATTCTCTACCTCTTATTACATTGCTTGTTCGATTTGAAGATAAAGATCTGCTTCATCATCAAAATTGAAACAGAAACAGGTGATGGAAGGAATACATGGCCGTGTCCAGTGTTGGCCATTGAAGGACTAGCTAGTAGGGGTCGCTTTGTTACTTTTGAACAGGCCACGTTTTACAGAATTTGGAATGAGAAAAAACAAGAGGATATTTGAAAGAAGCACAATAAAGAACACTAGTTATGAGAAAGATTTATAGAATAAAATCTTGTGATTTCAAGTGAACTCTTTTCAAAACTCTTCTACTTTGTTCTATTTTTTCGTAGTTGATATATTGCAAATTATTACCCCACACCACCCAAAAAGGTTATCCCATTTTTATAGTTCTTTGATTCTGTGAATAGGGCAAAAGATGGTTTTTTAACTAGGAGGAGGCCCATGTAATTTTTGGAAGGAATCAAGTTAAGAACAACTCTAGCTTTCCTCTTTCTGCTTTGGAAAAGAAGTCTTGTGATGTTCCTTCCTTTAATGACTTGTTTATGCTTATCTACTGACAACGGTGAATTGAGATTTGAGACTTGTTACTGATTCAAATGGTGGCTTATTTCATTCTATTCTTGTTCATGGTATGAGCTTATTTGCTGCTTGGAGTCAAATTGTACTGCTTTTTTGTTAGTGAATATTACATAAATCAAACATTTTTATCAATTATGGCTCTTGTAGTAATAAATTTCGTACTCTTTCATTAATTGAAGAAAATATAAATCATAAGGCTCATCAAGCTACAAATGACTAAAGCTCTCGGACAAACAATTGAAGTTAGAACAATCAAAATGGGCCAAAAAAGTAAAAAAGCAAAAACAAAAGAAGAAAATTTCCAAAATCTTATATGGTGCTCTTCCTTGTAGTTCTAATTACTAGCAAACGCCACTGATCTTCTTGTCCATTACAAACTTCTTCCATGCTGTGGTGATCTCCCTTTGAGTCTCAATGGCACTCTTCTTGTGGAAAATAGTACCATTCCTCTGTTTTTTCTCTTCACAGTTGGCTGAGATCTTTGCAGGGAGAGTCTCAAGATCATGAAGGACCTTCTGGATGTCAAGGACTAGTCGCTCAGCCAGTGTGCGCGAGAAGTCCTCCCTTATGACAACACGGAGCACTGTCACATGCTGAGCATCAGCTGGCATTGTGTAGGCTGGAACAATCCACCCAAATCGGCGCAACATGTCGGACACTTCGAATTCATTATGGCGACTGTTGTCCTTCAGGGAGAAAGCCACCAAGGGGATTCCATTGTCCTTGGACACAATGTTGAAGCGCCCAGTCTTCTCTAATCCTTCCTTGAGAACCATTGCATTTTCTCTGCAATTCTCCATAATGTTCCTATAGCCCTGAGATAAACCCAAGAGCTATTAGCTCATGTTTATTGCACAGCACAAAATAACATTACTTCTAGTATATAGATTTCTTAATGAACTTACCTCATAGCCCAAGCGGATCAGTTGGTAGTACTGAGCAATAACTTGACTAGAACCTGTAATTTCACAAAGAACAAAATAGTTAATTACCATATATTTCAGTTAATATCAATTGAACCTCTTTTGTTTAACTATAGGTCTATAGTCATCTTTGTGCATGAGTATGGTAGGATTTACTGTAATTACCTTTAGAGAAGTTCAGGGTGAAGGTGGGTTGATCAGCTCCAAGATAGTTGATGTGGAAGATAAGTTCTTCAGGTAAGTCTTCCTTGGTCCTCCAGATGACCCACCCAATCCCAGCATAGACAAGACCATACTTGTGTCCACTAACATTGATGCTCTTCACCAAAGGCAGCCGGAAGTCCCACTCTAGCTCTGGATAGATGAAGGGTGCAATGAATCCACCACTTGCAGCGTCTACATGTATAGGAGTATTCCATCTGCAAATCAATTATAAAATAGAAACTACATAAGATTCTGCTCCTGAATGAATGAAGCTATATTCATCACTTGATGAACCCACATTACCAAACTGGCACTATTAGCTATTTCAATTTTCAAACATACCCTGTTTTCTTGTTCTTCTCTGCTAAGAGGTCGTTCAAGAGCTTAACATCCTCGAATTCTCCATTGAGAGTTGAACCAAGGATTGCAGCAACACAGATGGTGTTTTCATCAACCATCTCAACTGCTTTTGCAGGGTCCATCACATAGTAGCCTTCCCTCAGCTTAACCTCCTTCAGCTCCACCTCAAAGTACCTTGCAAATTTCTCCCAACACACCTGTACATACAGCCATGAATAGATTACTATTTAGAACCATGCAGAATGAAATCCAATCTATCCAAACAATTTAATATGGGCTGGGCCTAGAAGCTCATGATAAAGGCCCTCCCATTTATTTGTATATGGTGGTCCTGGACAGAGGATTGCCAAATGGAAATGGTGAGGCTGGGTTTGGCTGTTTAGGGCCAGGTCTATCCTGACCCGTATCACACCCACCCCCATTGACAGCCCTAGTCCTAGGGTGACCCAATCCTGGTCCCACAGTAGACAAGGAATAAGATGACAATAGCTCTTGCTGGGCCTATTTTTACATGCATCATGTGCAATACACATACCTGAACATTAGCTCCAGTCACAATGTTGGGCTTGTCATAGGGTTTTCCCTGGGCCTTCCTCTTGTTCTGCCACCTCCTCTTGAATGCAAGTCCGGCCAACATTATAGCCTCCGATGACCCCACCGTCCCGACACCGACGGCAGTCTCCGAATCTCCGAGCGGAGCGTTGAATAAATGTGCTATCATGTTCACACAACGATTCTGCAAGAATTAAAAAATAAACACAGTAAGACCAACTAAACAAATTAAACGCTTTGACAAATGCTAGAAATCTAATTTATTACGTTATCAACTATTTTTTATTAATAATGAAGCTTTAACTACTCCAATGGAGTAAAAATGACCTTTTCTTCAGCAAAAGCAATTCCCTTTTGGAACAAGTAATCTTTCTTTGGGTTAATCCCATTTTTTTATTATTTATTTCCATTCTTTGTTTCTAATGTGTACATCACTCCGGCAGGCAAACCCTCCGGTCTCCCACCGGAAGTGGAAATTGGAAGAACAATTCGGTTAGTTTTCTGATTCAACTATTTGGGTTTAATCTGTAGTGGAATAAAATTCAGAAACTAACAGATTCTAAGCCTTCTATTTCACATTTTTATCAGGGAATTCTAGGAATTTCCTGCAAGTCAATTCCATTTCCCGGAAAGAAATTCAATTCCATTTCCATTCCTGGAATTTCCTTTCCATTAACGGAAGGGAAAAAAAAGTAGATAAATCGAAACAAAGGTCCTTTTTAATCTTTTTCATCCAAACACGTACAAAAAGGCGCAAACTTTCACGGAAAAAAATGCGGAAAACCGAGACCCCCAAGCTTCCAATCCAACTGTAAAGTAACCAGGGTCTAACGAATCCCCTGTAGTCTCCGGCATTATTCTACTCTTCCCAAGAGTATGTTTGTTTTTTCCATACAATTCGCCGCTTAAAAGCTGAGCCAGTGGGAAGAGATCTCTGATCTTGGATTGGAATAATCGTACTCGAGATTATAAATAATCTAAATCATTTATTTATTACCATATCTTCCGGAATCCTAGGAAAAAAGAATTCCAATCCAAAGCAAGACGTGAACCCCAGTTACGTATCTCTATTGTAGTGGGCCCTACATATTAACAAGGTAGGACAATGTGGGACCCAAAGAAAATTAATTATTGATCGGTGAACTGAAAAGTGTGAAATCCTTGTATCGACGGCAATCTACAGAAAGAACACTGTGAGACAGCTCAAAACCTCAAACCCGATCTAAACAAGCCACCGACGTTTATGCGGGGGAAAAACGAAAGAACGGTGAAGAAACTCGGAGAGAGTAGCCGGGAAGACTTGCCTGAAGCTCGGTGGTGACGGGATACTCGTCCATGTCAACGTAGTTCTTGTTGATGGCGGACATGATGAGCTTGTCGCACTCCGGCTCCATCCATGTCGTCACGAACGAGGCCAGGTTCAACCTCGGATTCCCGTCCAGCATCAGCTCGTCGTTGATGATCTGGTACGCTGCTTCCTTCGGGATCGAGTTCTCCGGCATCTTGAACCTGCAATGTATCCACCACCGTCAGTTCTCTCTGACTAGAATTCAATCAAAACATTAGCGAGAGAGAAAGAAAGAGTAGGTCACCTTGGAAGAGAAGCTCGGACGTAGCGTGAGGCGAAGGTGGAGTGAACGGAGACATCCGACTCCGACGTAGTCTTGGATAGAACCATAGTTGGAGAGAGAAAGTTAGAGAGAGAAGATGAGAGGAGAGAGAGGGGGATAGAGAGAGAGACTGTTTGAAAACTTGTCAGTATTGCTGAGTTGTGTTTGGAGTTGGTTGATTGGGAGCTGGTATTTATACAAGGAAGGAGTAGAGGAGCGATGACGCGTTGTGTGAGCTTTCGGTCTGATAGTTAAGCATATTCTTTTCTTTTGGTTTCAACAGGAAAAAAGCCTTATTCGTTATTTCCTCTTCTTCTTCGGTCATTTTCTCGCTTTTTTTAAGTTGCAGCGAAGCAGCGTAGCACTTCTCCTTTCTCTAGAAGGGTATAAAGGGAAAGTAAAAATAAAAGGCAAAGAAGCACCAAAATTGACCACGTAAATGGAAGAAAGTTCGGGTATTATGTTCACATTTGACTAAAACTTCAGCTCTCACCAATTCTAAACATCACTGGCCGTCGATTGCCCTGGTGGGCCACAACAGTTAAAGAAAGTACCAAGTCGACTCAGATCTCGAACGGTTTTGAGCGGGATTAAGGTCTTCTATTTGGCCACGAGAATTCCTGTTGTTCTAACTGACGAGTTTAACCGTTGTTTTGTTTGGGCCTTTTGGCATGTTAAGCGTTTAGGAAATAAAGTGGTCAAGAACTATACCCAAGAGCCATGAGGATGGATTTAGAAATAGTCCGCTCCACGACCTTGATCCATCAAGCTTGGAGTCAAGTCAACCCGTTTCATTGAACATTGACCCAATTAGTTTTTTTCTTTTTTTTTGGAGGGGGGAGGGGATGCAGAAATTTAGGGAAGGTAAATGAAACAACCGACCCGACCCGGATTGTTGATGGGGTGTAGTGAGGTGGGGAGCCAGCCAAACTGATTTGTGGAGATGATGGGTCGGGTCAGGACTGCAACTTCCTGAACACGTCATCATGTCCATTTGGGTTGGTGCCACGTAGGAGATCCAATACCCAAAAAACAGACCAATCAGATGCAATTTGCTGCAGGTTTTTCCGAGCTGTGAAGAAACATTTCAAAAAAGAGTCTATGGACCCAAAAGTTGGGATTCTCTGATGGTTTCCAGGGATGTTCATTTTTTAATTGAAGGTAGTTTGAACATTGAAGAAGGAACCCATTTAAAAATAAAAAATATATATTATTCGATTATGTAGTAATTCATCTATACTAATATTTCCTCTAATGGAGCCCCATGAAGGATTGGAACAGGAACAAAGAAGTGGACTAGTGGGGGATTACAGGTCTAATTCCATTTTGTCAAAGCCATCAATCTAGACCGTCGGATCAAAACCAATTTAATTTCATTTTTCTAAAATCTTATTTATTGATTACTGATTAAATAGGGGTATACCTATAGGGAGGGGTAGATGTGTAAAGTAGAGAGGAGGGAGAGGGGTTTTAGGTTTGGAATTAAAGGGGGTGCCCACGGATTCATGAACGGTAGAGTGAATGGAAGATATGAGTGGGGGAGAAAGAAGGAAAGTGGGGGAGGGTATGAACCGAGGGAGGAGAAAGTGGGGGCAGGCGGTTTCAAATTTCAGCGGCCAGCGTTTAAAGGCAGGAAAGGAATCCAAATCCGGGACGCGGCGCAACTTCAAATTCTGTAATTCGCTCTTTCCAAAATTGACCAAAACCGGTTGCCACCGTTGAACCATCCAACGATGGGAATGGGTTTACATAACTTACCTCGGAGTTGGAGAATGGGGAATGGAGAGCCAACCGACATTGACAGGGTGGATCTATTGGACCTAGGGCTGTACTCGAGTCGGATTTTAATCGGATTCGAGTTGAATCCGACTCCGAAAAGATTAAAATAATATTCATATTATTCTATTACATGTAATCTTAAACCCGCATCTGATCTGATTACTAAACGGTGGCAGGATTTAACATCCAACTGATCCAAGTATGTCAAAAGGGTGTACCTAATGGACCCACTTATACAGGAAGTGGGCTTGAATCAATTAGGTTTTGGCCCATGGGGTGGCTTTTCAGCTTGAATATGGAAGTTAGGGGTGTTCACGGTTCGGTTGGGGCATTAAATCGATAGTATTGGGTTTTGGAAAAAAACTGAACCGAAACCGAGGTTAATCAGTTGACTGGTTTAGTTAATTGTCGGTTTGGTTTGTTGGTTTTACAGTTTTTAGTTTTTAAAATATATATAAAATAAAAATTATAAATATATATATATAATATATTATTTTAAATAATAAATAATATATTATAAATATATATATTTATATATATAATACATATTTATTAATTTATAATATATATAGTATATATAAATATATATATATACACCGATTGATTCAGTTAACCATCGGTTTTTTATGTTGGTTAACCGAAATTGAATCGGTATCTTCAATTTTTTAAAAACACCGAATCAAAACCAAATGGACCAGTTCAATTAAGTGATTTTTTTATTCGGTTTTGATCGATTTTTTTGATCAAGTTCAAATTTTCAGTTTCTTTTTTTTGCTCACCCCTAATTGAAGCCCATTTAGAGAAAAACCCAATTTGGCATGGGCCCAAGATGGATGGGAAACCACTTGGTCTTTTGGTTTGAACTTTGATGTTTAAAAATGTAGGGTTTCCTGGGCTTTAGAAAAAGAATCAAATTAGATGGATCTATTTTTCAATCAGGTCAAAAATCTAGAGGATCTAGATTCGTTCCATTTTCTTGAGTTGCTGACAGAGACAGAACCAAGGACATGGGTCCTCCAAACTTTTGAGAGGTGGGAGTAATGGCACGTGTCTGTCCTAATAAATTTTAAAAAACTAAAAAAAGAAAAAGTAGTTTTGGAGTTGTGCAGGACCCCAAATCAATGTTTTTAAAATTCCCTTGATTTTTTGGTCAAACGATGAAATAGTTTGAACAAATAGAATGGTTCGTTTTAACAAAAAAAAATAATAATTAAAATTATTGGACGCTTTGAACAATTTAACCGTCTGAATCAGTGATTTGTTGAATAAATCAACAGTTTTTGGCAAAATAATAATTCTACAGTAATCATCTGACCGATTCCTGATTTTTCCGATCCGATTTTAAAAACATACTTCAAATAAAGGAAATTTATTAATTGATTCCTTTATTTTTTTCGTTTTTCATGGGTAATCGCCTAGTCGGTTCCTAATAAAGAGAAACGCTGTATTGGATAGTGGGGAAAAAAACCGTTCTAGAGCTCCCAAAATAATTTAAAAATCACATGGTTTAAGTAATTCAACCTTGTTGAATTTTTTGTCAAATAATTTGTTATACAAACCCCATTCAATGGTGGGTCCCAATTTTCAACAAGAACACGTGGAGGTTGAAGGAAGAAACCAATAGGTCAACATTTCTTCCTAAACCATTAAAAAATAATTAATTTATTAAAATAAAACAAAATATTACTTTTTACGACAACCATTTTCAAGAAACGCTCTATATTGTACCTTCAAGAAAACTGAAAGTAATTAAAAATGTTTGAACTAATTTTGAGGCCTGGCGCTGAATTTGTTCAATAACTAGGAGTTGTATTAATAATTTAGTTCGTCCCTACCATCTCAAGAGAAAACTCCTGGTTCCGCCCCTGGTTATGGACGCCATTAATTGCCCTCTTATTGAATAGATTATGGAGGATAAGCCTTCAATGTCTTGGTTGAGGGGGTGGGTCTTTCTCTGCTAATTGTCATCCTATTATTGAGTGGGGTGGGGACTCCATTATTTGTAGATACAATCCCCCTAGGTTGATCATCACCGGTCCTTCTGTATTCATTCAGAAACACCACACATTGTCCTGTACGTCAATTAATTATTGTCTGCCGGATTCCGGCAACAAAGATACAAACAACCGGAGGTGTATGATAAGTTCCGGCCTTATACGGGATGCAACTATATGGGTGTTACTGTGTAGATAGATCTATATCCACTGTTAAGGATTTAGGGATACAAGTTGGGGATAACATTTGGGGAGGGGGTCCCTCGCCCGAGGGACCGAATGGCAAGTGGAGGTTTCAACTAAGGGGTCATTCATTTTTCAGAAATAGTACCTAAGGGTAAGTTGGTAGGTCTCACACAAAAGAAATAAATCTATGTTCGTTTTATGATATTATTGGGTCTCGTAAAAAAGAACAATATATTCTTGAACAGTTTATTTACCCAGGAAGTAATACTCTATTTGGATAAATTGCTTGTCCATATGCAACAAAAATCATTAATACATGATGGAATAGTATTATCCATTCAATAATGTCATTCTTTTTTAAAAGAATCAGTCATTATACACTTTTACCTAGAAAATACAGAACGGTAAAAGCTTTTATCCATGTAAGTGTTTTCTGAAAAATACTAACAAGAGTTTATTTGTTGAAGATTGAAGGAAGAGACGTGAGAAAAGAAGTCAGAAGACTTTGGCAACCAATTTGGATACCAGAGTAGTTGTTGATATTAAAAGCCTTGATATTTCCATGGTTCTTTACTTTTCTAGCTGTTTCTTGGAGCATAAGCATACGAATTCATTTACCCAGAAGTCATATTCGCTTTATGTATGTTCCTTCGGTTTTAAAACTCGGTGATAACTTAGATTTTGGACTGAGTTAGCTCCATTCAGCTGAATTCAGAGTTGCCTCGGGAAATGAACCTATCTTTTGCAACTTGTTATCTAAATTATGATTCCAGGCAATGACCATGGAGTAGTAGTGGTCTTCGTGCCGCCTCACTGTAGCACGGCCCGTGCAGGTTGGGGGCGGGGCCAGCACGAGCCCGGGCCCGTGGCCCTCGGACCTTGGGCCAAGTGGGGCTGGTCCATATTATTTTATTGGGAAAATTCTATATCAGTATCTTGTATTTTGGCTCGAGTGATAATTTGGTCTCTAAACTTTAAAATGCGATAGTCCAGTACTCAAATTCTCAAAATGTAACAATCCAGTATCTGTTGTTAATCAATTCATTAATCAGCCATTAAGTGACACTTGAAAAGTTAAAAATGTTCTTCGAATGCCATTTAATTCTCTTTATCAACCATTTAAATGTTGACAAAAAACTTTACAATCCTAAATTCTAGCCTACGGATGGCAATTTTACAGGAATTTTCGGGTATCCGACTCGACCCAACCCTAATAGGACCCATTTATCAAAACCCTATAGGGGGAT